AGCCATTCTCATGCCTCAGCCTCCTGAGTAGCTGTGATCACAGGGGTGCACCACCACACATGGTTAATTTTTGTATGTTTTTTTTTTTAAGTAGAGATGAGGTTTCACCGTGTTGGCCAGGCTGGTCTTGAACCCCTGACCTCAGGTGATCTGCCCGCCTCAGCCTCCCAAAGTGCTGGGATTACAGGCATGAGCCACCTTGTCTGGCCAGAGACAAGTTGCTCCCCTTTGTACCTCATCTCCCTACTTGGGTAGAAGTTTGTCAAGATCTGACTGGTTTCGAGGATCCGCTGTTATTTACTAGAGAGGGAGTCTTGGTGGCTCCCCCTCTCCACAGCATAATGGAAACCAAACTGCCCCCAGGAATCGTCATTTCCACACCAGACCTAGCTCCAGTGTTCCCTCTCCTCAGAGCCCTGGAAGAGCTCCAAAGGGCAGGGCCAGAGCAGGGACAGGGGCTAGAGGGACCTCAGGCAGTACCTGAGGAGCTGGAGGCAGAAACATCTCTGCTCCCGTCTCTACACAGGCAGCAGCCTGCCTGGTCGCCTGGGTCCCCAGCCCAAGGGCAGCTTGGTAATAAACACTTTTGAAATGTTCTGGCCTGAGTCCTTGAGTTCACCCAGATGCGCAGAAACCTGTCTGCTTTTCCTGTGGCACTCGGGCCTTCCCCAAATCTGCCTCCCACCTACTCTCCTGTAGAGAAAGGCTTAGTTTTATTTTCCAACCCTGGGCTGTGAATTGGCCCTCCAAAATCTAGTGCTGGCTCACGTACCACCCTGTGGCTCTGGCTAGCCTGCTAAACCTGAGTTTCGAATTGACCTTTAATTGCTCTAAATGGGCTACCCACCCTCACCCCATCCTTGGAAGATTCTGGGAATGATATAAATCAAGGCTCAGATTTTTTTTTTCCTTTTTTCTTTTTTTTTTTTTCTTGAGTGCAGTGGCCATTTCAACTCACTGCAACCTCTGCCTCCCGGGTTCAAGCTATTCTCTTGCCTCAGCCTCTGAAATAGCTGGGATTACAGGCTAGTGACACCATGCCCGGCTAATTTTTGTATTTTTAGTAGGGATGGGGTTTCTCCACGTTAGCCAGACTTGTCTCAAACTCCTGACCTCAAGTGATCTGCCCACCTCGGCCTCCCAAAGTGCTGTGATAACAGGCATAAGCCACCGCTCCCAGCCAAGGCTCCGATCTTTGGCGCTGGATCCTGCAGGTAGCTGTGGACACACTATGCTCCTGCTCTCCCAGGCATCCCCACAACATGGCATCCATTTGTCTGTGCTCTCATTCAGTCAATGAATATTAAGATGTTAACGGCATCTGGCCCTGGGAGGTATGATATTGAACAAGACATAGACCCTGCCCTCCAGGAGCTTTTTTTCTTTTTTTGGATAGTATCTCACTCTGTTGCCCAGCCTAGAGTTCAGAGGTGCAGTCATGGCTCACTACAGCCTCAAAAGACTCAAGCTATTTTCACACCTCAGCCTCCCGAGTAGCTGGGACTACATGTGCATCACCATGTCCTACAAAATTTTTTGTATTTTGTGTAGAGATGGGGTTTTGCCATGTTGCCCCGGATGGTCTTGAACTACTGGACTCAAGTGATCCTCCCACCTTGGCTTCCCAATGTGCTGAAATTACAGGTGTGAGCCACCTTGCCTGGCCTCAGGAGCTTATAGTCTAGCGAAGAGACCTGGCAAGCAAACAGCCCTTCCCAAACAAGCGTCAGAGAAGAACAACTGGCAGTCCGTGCGCCACCAGGGGAATTCTGTCTCCTGTCCCATCCTTTTTTTTTTTTTGAGACAGAATCTCGCTCTGTTTCCCAGGCTGGTGGAATGCAGTGGTGCGATCTCGGCTCACTGTAACCTCTGCCTCCCACGTTCAAGTGATTCTCCTGCTTCAGCCTCCCAAGTAGCTGGGACTACAGGCACACATCACCGCACCTGGCTAATTTTTGTATTTTCAGTAGAGGTGGGGTTTCACCATGTTGCCCAGGCTGGTCTCAAACTACTGACCTCAAGTGATCCACCTGCCTCTGCCTCCCAAAGTTCTGGGATTACAGGCGTAAGCACTGTGCCCGGCCCTGTCTTGTCCTATAGCACATGAGGCAGCTGGGATCCAGGGGTCCAGTACTCAGAGATGCCACATCCTGACCACCCTTCTTTGCTGTCTCAGCCTTCTTTGCAGCTACTGGCTGCCCACTCCCCTTTCCTTCCCTGTGTAACCCAGAGACATCCCAGGAGAACCTGCCCACCTCCACTTGCTTTCCTCCCTCCCCACCTCCCCCAGTCCCAACCCTGTCTCCCTAGAACAAACCCTCCCTGCCCTCCCTCAGTAAGCAGTGATGATGTGGCAGAGGGAGCAGGATAGACTGGAAAGAGTTCAGCTTTAAAGACCAGGCATGCTCCTCCCTAGCTGTGGAGCCTTAGCCAAGCCACCCAGCCTTCTCCTTTCTGAGCCTCAGTTCTCTCAGCTACAAAATGGATGTACTGCTACTCTGCCTATCCTGCAAGCATGTTAGAAAATTAGGTGAGGAAATGGATGTGGGAGGCCTGGTAGATTATATCAAAATGTCCTGCACATTTGCATGGGGAGGTGATACTAAGAGAGGCCCCAGTCTCTAATATTGTCCATATCCTGTCCATTGACAGATTTTCAAGGCTACTCTGGAGTCTAGCAAGTGGAAGTTCACATTCAAGGGTTTGCCTCTCCTCGGCTGACCTACAGGAAGCGGCTGGAGAAGTGGAGGAGGAAGCTGCCCTCCCCAAGAACAACTTTTTCAGACAGGACATTTCCAGTGAGCAGTGGCATCAGACACCTAGAAAGAGGGCCTCTCAGCTGGGCACAGTGGCTCACATCTGTAATCCTAGCACTTTGGGAGGCCAAGGAGGGTGGATCACCTAAGGTCAGGAGTTCGAGACCAGCCTGACCAACTTGGTGAAACCCCGTCTCTACTAAAAATACAAAAATTAGCCAGCCGTGGTAGTGTGTGCCTGTAATCCCAGCTACTCAGGAGGCTGAGGCAGGAGAATCACTTGAACCCAGAAGATGAAGGTTGCAGTGATTCGAGATCATGCCACTGTACTCCAGCCTGGGTGACAGAGCGAGATTCCATCTCAAAAGAGAGAGAGAGAGAGAGAGAGAAAGAGATGGAGTCTCACTCTATTGCCTAGGCTGGAGTGCAGTAGGGCGATCTTGGCTCACTGCAATCTCCGCCTGCCGGATTCAAGCGATTCTCCTGCCTCAGCATCCTGAGTAGCTGGGATTACAGGTTTCCGCCACCACCCCCAGCTAATTTTTGTATTTTTAGTAGAGATGAGGTTTCACCATGTTGGCCAGGCTGGTTTCCAACTCCTGACCTCAAATGATCAGCCCGCCTTGGCCTCCCAAAGTGCTGGGATTACAGGCGTGAGTCACCGCACCTGTCCTGTCCCATCCACTTCTTGCTCTTGGTTGCTGTGGGCAGTCCCTTCCTCTCACCCTCCGCCTGCCCTTGGCAGCTCAGAGATGATACCCCATCCTCATCCCGCCCTCCCTGCCTTCCCCAGTCCCAAGCCCCTCTCCCTATAACAGACTCACCCTGACAGAGCTGTCCACCGTCCTCCTCACTAAGCAGCAATAATGAGGGGAACATGGCAGGGGGAGCAGGACAGAGAAGTGAGTGAACAAATGAACAAACCCACTTTCTGTCACCCAGCAGATACCCACCACAGGGGAAGGAGAGAAAGCAGTCCCACAGACCCCTCCTCGGCTGGAAAGTCCTTCCTATCTGACTCAAATCCCATTTGCTGGAGGAGTTCCCCCCATTTCTTTTGTGAGACAGCCTCCTTCTGTGTAACAACTATTCAGAGACTTGAAATCTGCCTCTCTGGTTTCCTCCGTCTTTGCAAATATCACAAAGAGAATAAGGCAATTTGGCTTCTGCCTGCCTTGCATTAATTCTCTAACCATGTCTTATGTCCCAGTCCCCCTCACTCTGCACTTTAACCACACAGGCCTTCTTTCCGATTCACACCCCCACCCCTTTTTTTTGAGACTGAGAATGGCTCTATCGCCCACGCTGGAGTGCAGTGGGTGTGATCTCAGCTCACTGCAACCTCCGCCTCCTGGGTTCAAGCGATTCTCCTGCCTCAGCCTCCCAAGTAGCTGGGATTACAAGAGCATGCCATGACACCCAGCTAATTTTTGTATTTTCAGTACAGACAGGGTTTCACCATGTTGGCCAGGGAGGTCTCCAACACCTGACCTCAAGTGATCTGCCCACCTCGGCCTCCCAAAGTGCTGGGATTATAGGTGTGTGCCACTGTGCCTGGCCTCTTTACTAGTTTTAAAAGAAAACCACAGGCCCTTTGCACTTGCTATGGCCTCTGCCCAGGGTACTTCCCAACCCATCCATGGCTCCTTACTGAGCCCAGCCCTGGGCTACAAGGAAACTTGTCCAGCTGACCCCATCCCTCCCTACCCCGAGATCAGGAGGAGCTCCCACATTACACAGCTCCACAGCACCTTTCCCCTTCTCTGGCTGATTAATGTCTTCCTCCTGTCAGCTCCGGGAGGACAGGGATCATAGCGGCTTTGTTCCCATTGAATCCCCAGTGCCTAGCACAGGCCTTGGCCCATACATAGTAGCTGCACAAACAATATTTGTTGCTTGAATGTCTGTAGTATTCTCAATCTAGTCAACTTGGATAGGCTGTTGTCTTAGGCCTGGAATGAGACCAAAGCAAGCTGGTCCAGCCTTGGTGGTGTCCTAATTTGGCCATCTGACTATGAATATGCTAACAAATGACTGGTTTAGCATCGGGCATTTCCATTCCTTCCCTGGGGCAAGCTCCCCCAGCAGCAATCCTCCCAGCCCTAAGGCGGGTCCTTGTTGTCGGGGACTAGAGGCCAAAGGACTGGTAGATCCCATCACTCATGTCCTTTTGCCTAACTCCAGGAGCTTCTTCCAAAATGAGAGACCCTTATGTTTTTTTGGCATTTTCTTTTTTAAATTCAGTCTCTGTAGAGACTGTAAAAAATTCCCAATGCTGACTATATTTTAAGACGTCATGGCAGGGTATTGGGAAAAGTTTTCGATTAGCAATAATTGCACCTTGGATAAGCCTCATTGGCTACGATACTGGTTTTTGGCATTTTTTTTAAAGATGGAGTCTTGCTCTGTTCCTCAGGCTGGAGTTCAGTGGCATGATCCTGGGCTCAAGCAGTTCTCCTGCCTCAGCCTCCTAAGTAGCTGGGACTACAGGCGCCTGCCACCACACTCAGCTCTTTTTTTTTTTTTTTTTTTTTTCTGTATTTTTAGTAGAGACGAGATTTTACCATGTCGGCCACGGCTGGTCTCAAACTCCCGACCTCAAGTGATCCGCCCATCTTGGCCTATCAGAGTGCTGGGATTATAGGCGTGAGCCACCAAGCCAGCAGAGACCTTTATGTTTTTAATGGTTTGTGTAGCCCACAAAACACCCTTTGTCATTCACACTATTTTTCTGATAAGGGAAATGAGACTGAGGGAGATGAAGTGACAAGTCTAAGATTATACCATTAGGAAAGTGGCTAAGGCAATGCTTGAGGTCTTGTGAAGCCAGCTGGTTTTCTTTTCTTTTCTTTTCTTTTCTTTTTTTTGAGGCAGAGTTTCCTTCTTGTTGCCCAGATTGGAGTGCAATGGCAAGATCTCGGCTCACCTCAACCTCCGCCTCCCGGGTTCAATCAATTCTCCTGCCTCAGCCTTCTGAGTTGGGACTACAGGCATATGCCACCATGCCCAGCTAATTTTGTTTTTTTGGTAGAGATGGGGTTTCTCCATGTTAGTCAGGCTGGTCTTGAACTCCTGACCTCAGGTGATCCGCCCGCCTCAGCCTCCTAAGCTGCTGGGATTACAGGCGTGAGCCACTGTGCCCGGCCAGCCAGCTGGTTTCCTGAACGGGATGTGTTAACCAGCAATGATTCTCAGATTCTGGCCCTTTTGGCAGTTGATTCTTTTTTTCTGTTTATTCATTCACTAATTTGTTTGGGAGATAAGCTCCAGTTATTGCCTTCGAGGAGCCAAAGTCCCAGGCTGTCATTTTGAACCGAGGGTCTGGGAATGGCCCGAAATTATTATATGTATATTTTAGTGTTTATGTACATATGTGCATTTTTCTTACAGACTTCATTTTTTTTCTTTTTAATTGCTTGGCAGAGCATTGAACTTGCAAACTTTCAGAGGGTTTCATTACACCCTGTCCCCTGACCTCCCCTCATTGCAAAAAGGTTAAGAACTACTATAATGAATGCTATACAGTGTAAACAGATGGCAGCCATGTGCTCATCAGCATCTCCTGCCTGTTTGGGTGACTGAGGCCCCAGCATGTGACCATCTCTGGCCCAAGTGATAACTTGGGTGTCTGCACCATATGACCCATCTGCGGCACTGCTGACCTGGGACAGCTCCTTTTGCAAGATGAAACACATAGAAAGGTGCATGCGCGTGCATACACACACACACACACACACACACACACACGCATGCACGCACACACACACACATACACTCACTGACTCCAACAGCCCCAGATTCACAACTGCCCTTGAATCCAGGGAGATCCTGTAACCGTCCAATGGATTCACCTTGACTGTTGCCTAGACAGAGTGGATTCCTCAAGACAGGGAAATCGCAATAGAGAAAGAGTCATTCATGCAGACACAGCTGTGTGGGAGACCAGAGTTTCATTATTACTCAATCAGAGTTTCATTATTACTCAAATCAGTTTCCCTGAGCATTCAGGGAGCAGAGTTTTTTTTTTTTTTTTTTTTTTGTTTTTAAGACTACTTGCTTATCTGTAGTCTTTTTTTTTTTTGAGACGGAGTTTTGCTGTTGTTACCCAGACTGGAGTGCAAAGGCATGATCTCAGCTCACTGCAACGTCCGCTTCAGGGTTAAGCAATTCTCCTGCCTCAGCCTCCCGAATAGCTGGGACTACAAGCACGCACCACCATACCCAGCTAATTTTTGTATTTTTAGTAGAGACGGAGTTTCACCTTGTTGACCAGGACGGTCTCGATCTCTTGACGTAGTGATCCACCCGCCTCGGCGTCCCAAAGTGCTGGGATTATAGGCGTGAGCCACCGCACCTGGCCAGGGAGCAGAGTTTTTAAGGACAACTTTGTGGGGGAGGCAGGAGGCGGAAGCCAGTGAGCCAGGAGTGCTGATTGGTTAGGGATGAAATCATAGACAATCGAAGCTGTCTTCTTTCTCTGAGTTAGTTCCTTGATGGGGGCCATAAGATCAGATGAGCCGGGGTTTTTTTTTTTTTTTTTTTTGAGATGGAGTTTCGATCTTGTTACCCAGGCTGGAGTGCAATGGCGTGATCTCAGCTTACAGCAACCCCTGCCTCCTGGGTTCAGGCAATTCTCCTGCCTCAGCCTCCTGAGTAGCTGGGACTACCATGCCCGGCTAATTTTTGTATTTTTAGTAGAAACGGGGTTTCACCATGTTGGCCAGGATGATCTTGAGCTCTTGACCTCGGATCCACCCACCTTGGCCTCCCAAAGTGCTGGGATTATAGGCGTGAGCCACCGCGCCGGGTCCAGATGAGCCCATTTATTGACCTGAGTGGTGCCAGCTGATCCATCAAGTGCAGGGTCTGCAAAGTTTCTCAAGCCCTGATTTTAGAAGCAGTTTAGGGAGGGTCAGAACTTTGTAGCCTCCAGCTGCATGACTCCCAAACCATAATTTCTAATCTTGTGGCTGTTAGTCCTACAAAGGTAGTCTAGTCCCCAGGCAAGAAGGAGGTCTGCTTTGGGAAAGGGCTGTTATCATCTTTGTTTTTCACTATAAACTATAGGCTGGTGGGGTGGCTCATGCCTGTAATCCCAGTACTTTAGGAGGCTGAGCCAAGCTGATCACCTGAGGTCAGGAGTTCAAGACCAGCCTGGCCAACATGGAGAAACCCCATCTCTACTAAAAATACAAAAAATTAGCCTGCAATCCCAACTACTCGGGAGGCTGAGGCAGGAGAATCCATTGAACCCGGGAGGCGGAGGTTGCGCTGAGCAGAGACCACACCATTGCACTCCAGCCTGGGTAACAAGAATGAAACTCCGTCTCAAAAAACAAAACAAAAGGCTGGGCGTGGTGGCTCACACCTGTAATCCAAACACTTTGGAGGCCAAGGTGGGTGGATCACCTGACGTCGGGAGTTCAAGACCAGCCTGACCAACATGGTGAAACCCCGTCTTTAAAAAAGAAAAAAAACTATAAACTGAGTTTCTCCCGAAGTTAGTTCAGCCTATACCCAGGAATGAAGAAGGAAAGCTTGGAGGTTAGAAGCAAGATGGATTCGATTATGTTAGATCTCTTTCACTGTTTCAGTCATAATTTTGCAAAGGCGGTTTCAATCCCTTGATCTTTCTCTGGAGTATTCGTGACACATAATACTGCCCATGATGACTACATATATACATATACATATATATTTGAGCCAGAGTCTTGCTGTGTTACCCAGGCTGGAGTACAATGGCACGATCTCAGCTCACTGCAAACTCCGCCTTCTAGATTCAAGGGATTCTCTTGCCTCAGCCTCCTGAGAAGCTGGGACTACAGGTACGTGCCACCACACCTGGCTAATTTTTGTATTTTTAGTAGAGAGAAGGTTTCACCATGTTGGCCAGGCTGGTTTTGAACTCCTGACCTCAAGTGATCCAACTGCCTCAGCCTCTCAAAGTACTGGGATTACAGGCGTAAGCCACGCTACCTGGCCCGCGACGGCTACTCATTGAAGGCTTAGTGTGTCAGACGCTACGATCATCACACCTTCATGTCTTATCTTTTCTATTTTAAAAAAATTAGAAGTGTTCATAGTAGTACTAACTTGCTCTCAAGTTTCTAAATGTTTTCTGTGCGTTTTTTTGTTTGTTTGTTTTTCTTTCGGGACAGTCTTGCTGTGTCGCAGTTGGAGTGCAGTGTTGCCATTGTGGCTCACTGTAACTTCCGCCTTCTGGGTTGAAGCGATGCGCCCACCTCAGCCTCTGAGTAGCTGGGACTTCAGGTGAGTGCCACCATGCTGGCTAATTTTTTTGAATTTTTAGTAGAGATGGGTTTCCCTATGTTAACCAGGCTGGTCTCCAATTCCTGCCCTCAAGTTAATTCACCTACCCTGGTCCCTCAAAGTGTTGGGATTACCTGTGTGAACCAGCAAGTCTGGACTCTCATGTCACATATATACATAGTTTTGCTCCCGGGTTCAAGCTATTCTCCTGCCTCAGCCTCCCAAGAAGCTGGGATTACAGGCATGTGCCACCATGCCTGGCTATTTTTCTAGTTTTAGTGGAGACAGGGTTTCACCATGTTGGTCAGGCTCGTCTTGAACTCCTGACCTCAGGTGATCTGCCCACCTCAGCCTCCCAAAGTGCTGGGATTACAGGTGAGCCACCATGCCCAGCCCCCTCATATTTTATAATCCCCACAACAGGCCTGTGAGTTTTGGAACTTGCCCCAGTCATGTGGCTGGGAAGAGGAGAAGGTGAATGATAAGAAAGCATTGTGGGGGTCAGTGGGGGGCGTGAAGAAACCTGAATGTGTTTAAGATCCTTCAGGGGTAGACCAGACTGTTCACTGTGTCAAAATCATTCCTTTATTCTTTCATTCTACTGCTATTTCTTGAGAATCTTCTATGTGCCAGGTATGTGTTAGGGACTGTGGTGGCCAGCTTCCAAGATGGTCTGATGTTGGCCACCTCCTGGTACCCGCACCCTTGGATAGTCACCTGCCAGCAGGACCGGGCAGCAAAGGACCATTACTTCCAACATTAGGTTACGAGAGCCTGCGGCTTCTGTCTTGGATGCTCTCTCACTCTCTTGCTCTCCCTTTTTGGTTGCCCGCTCTGAGGGGAGCAAGTTGGCGCGGTGTACACAGCCCTGTAGAGAGCCCTATGGAGAGGCTCCTTCCTTTGGAAGGAGCAGAGCCTCTGCCAATAGCCAGTGAGGAGCTAGGGCCTGCCAACCACCACGAGCGAGCTTGAATGCAGACCCTCCAGCCCTGGTCAGGCCTTGAGATGACTGCAACCTCATGAGGACCCTGCTTGCAGGGACTGTGGGAGACAGCAAATGCTTAGTGTAGTAGGCTGCTACGTATTTTTGTTGTTGTTGGAGATGGAGTCTCGCTCT